GAGTTAGAAAATGATGTCTCGTACATTAGAGAGAAATGTTCTTCATTAACGTTATGCATACCAGTTACGATCCAACCAGTTTTGCTATTCACTCAGTATAATTGTGGTGAAGTTTCTATCTTCTGACATTATCTTCTAAATAATGTTAAAATAGTAATCGTTCCCTATTATTAGATTGAAGTTTTGTGAAGTAAACTGGCCGTCTGATAACTTTGGATAGGAAATTTGGAATAGGAAGAAGCAATTGTGTTGAAGTTTCTATTGGTACTAGAAACTACCTCCCCAGTGATATGAGTAACAAAGTTTCCTGTTCGTTAGCTGTAATCAAGCATCTGTTACTTGAGTCTCAACAGTTTTAGATTCACGACCGTAAGTAAAGAAAATGTTTGGCTATATTTACCCTTCAAACTCAGTTTAGAAGCCGTTAGGCGCATAAGATCTTTGACTGTCGCTGTCAAAAAGTACACCACAATGCATTTCTTGGTTGGTAACAGCATTGCGTAAAGTAATAATTGCAGTTTGAAGAATAACACACTCCGATATGAAAATTAAAAAAGCCTTTCATGCATTTACAGATCCCATGAGTGTTAAGGTTACTTGTGGGCAATCACTAGAAATTTGGTCTGTTGGAAACTGTTTGGTACATAAACTTCTATGATGATTACTCTGCTGTTAACAGTAAACACACATTTTATGTAATTTACAGAAGTTCACAGTGTGTCCCTTACTTAAACATACACAGCACCTACCTGGAATTGCTTTCTTGCGTGCCTCAGCAAATTTATATTTTGTACACTGGTCATTCCAGTGTTTGACTTCACAAAAAATACAAGTTATTTTGTTGTTATTTTTTTGTAAGGGAGCGGGTATATGTTAACTTTTTAGTGTCCACCTGTGTGTATACATTGGCAACAGTATAAGAATTATTAGAGATGAAGTGCTTGGTGTTGATCCCGTCAGTAGCTCTAACTTCAATCGAATCTAAATTAAACTATTCACAAAATTGAAAAACATATTAACATCCAATTCAAGAAATATTCATTTCTTCAACATTAAAAACAATTTTGTAGGGTAACTTACTGAACAAATGTTATCAAAGCCTCACCTTAGTGAAACTCTAGCACTGGCTGTGATAGGTGGCATATCCCTGTAGCACAGTAATGTTATAAAACCTGTCTTTCAACGTAATAGCAATGTCACAATTCAGTTCGGTAATGGGGAGTCCAGCGATACAACGTTTAGCGTCACCCTTTAATTGGACTATTAAATAAACTAATTAACTTAACTGATCACAGGGTGACTATGAATGGCAGACTCAAAGCTATCCCAAAACTCCTGCCACCGTAGCATATCCCCTTGGAAAGTTGGTAAAACAAACTTCGGGAGTTGAATGTACTGGTTTTGTACGAATGGTAGTCGCTGAACGGAAGACATACTAGGCTCTGTTGGCTGTGGGTTTCCATTGGTTCATCTTCAGTTTTTGGGTTGGTGTCCAGTTGTTCTTCCACCTTCTTTACAAAGCTACTAAAAGTCTGTATTCAAGTTTGAAGTTGTACGTTGTAGCTCTGCTAAGTCCGCAGTCTCCAAGATCTCTGTGGTTTTAGCGAATTTCCCTATAGGGAAGTAGCTATTACCGTAGGTGGCACGGTAAGACCTAGACCCGGGACCGATTTACTTTTTCATTTTGATGTCCCCAGAGGCCAAAAACACCATTCGTTCAAATTTTTATATATGTATATATATATATATATATAGACTTATATATATATATATATATACATCCGTGAACGCGATAACTTGAGTAATTTTTGTCCGATTTTGATGAAATTTGGTTTAAAGGTGTAAAGCGGGATAAACTTGAATGAGTTCGCGAACCAGCACGATCGGACCATGGGAACGGGGCTTTACGGGGGGTTTTATGGGGTAAAAATTGGTTTTTCTCACTTTTGACCCTCAAAACACAAAATTTCCCGATTTCTCTTTAGACCTTTTTAAAGAGCTTAAAAAAACAAATAATTTAGTATATAAAAGTATTTTTGTTCGATTATTAGTAACGGAGAAAATTAAAAAAATTGTAAATTTAAAATTCCCATGTTATTCTTAGGGAGAATATTGTCAAATGTTGTAGTTTGCTTGTTTATGGATATATTTTGATCAAACTTGGCAAATTTATTTATTTTGTACTAAGCTATCAATATTTTACTCAAAAACACACTTTATTAGTTTCCTTGTAGCAGCAAACCTAGGTACTCGTTAAACCTAATGTTATAAAAATATATTTAACTGAAAATCAATTCAGACAAATGGAAATTCGCTTAGTCGGCAGGTTTGCTGCGGCGGGGGTATTTATAATAGTTATCTGTGTCGTCAGTCACAGTAAGGCAGTTTTCAATCGAAGGTATCATCTTGAAGTCATTCTTGGTTGATTGTTTGGTCGTAGAAGTAAAGCCAAAGTGAATAGTTAAAAGTAAAAGAAAAAGTGAAAAGTGTAAGCAGGAAACCAAGCTCTTACCATGTCATGAAAAAGGATTAGCTGTTGGTATTTGGTTTACCTGCCATACCTTTAGTTGTAAGTTAATAGAGCTAAAAGTTTAATAAAAGAAGAGTCAAAGTTTTGTATCAACATAACACTTAATCATAAACTCTTCATAAAATTTACAATGTTAAAACCATTTCCTTGGTAACCAAAACTAAACAAAACAAAATGCAAACCACAGCTGTCCAAAGGCATCATTGCAGTAGCAACAGCTTCCTTGCTTGGATACAACTATCAATGAATGTAAACCTTATAAGAAGCGGAATGCTTTTGGGGGGAAGTCAGACTGGATTTTGCCGCTGAAAAAAACTTTGTGCAGCCACCACTAGGTAAGCGCTACCCTCGTTCTCTCTCCCTACGCCAATTCTTTGTCTCACTCACACTGCTGTGGTCCCATTGACACCGCCGAGCGCAAGCAGTAGTGGCAATTTTCTTACCTAGCGGCAAATACTTATCACAATTGAAAAATTCCAGCCTGAATTTTTAACAGGGGCATTTCTCTTATAAGGTTTGTATACATTGCTACAATTTTTATATCAGACATCTTAGAAATCCAACCAGTATATTAAGGGGAGACTGAACCTTTTATGTCTTAAAAAATTAAATTTTTGTTTTTCGTCTAACATTAATCTTTATTTCTTCCTGATTAAGAAAATATATAATACTTAGAATATTAGAAAGCTTCTTATGATAACAGTAAATAAACAAAGCTAACTCTACCGAGGTTTCGGCCACACTATTCTTATGGCTTTGAGTGTGTGCTGCAAAGCTTTAAGTGTGTTTTTCCGAAAGTTAGTTTTTTTATCTTTAGGTACACATAGTTCAAAATCTGTAATACATAGAGACTTAAAAATTTGCATGCATTTGTCTGGGTATTTGTTGAGTACATTAAACCAATCATATATTGATTAGTTATAAATTTTCATTTAAAAAATAATTTATTTTTATTTTTAGAATATCGCATAAAAATTTGTATTTTTTTAATTATTGAAAATAATTTTTATATTGATATATTTCTTTAAAAAGTGGTTTAACGTAATGATATGGATGTGATAATTAAGTGTGCAAAATATCTGTATGATAGGTTTAGTAGTTTACGTGCTATATGTACTTGAACTTGTAGAGAATATCCATTTAAAAAGCATTAAACCAGAAAAGGTACAGTCTCCCCTTAAATAAATAGTGGCCTATTAGCAAGTGGCATTAAAATGCTCTACCTGTTATATATACAATGAGGTGGTTGATTTGTTTTGTAGAAAATCGTGTTGTGTTTTGTTGGACCAATTTTTGTGGTGTCGCTTATCATCTACAATTTTGCCGTAATGGATGCTGGTTTTCAATTTTATGAGTAGCTTCTTGGCACTTCTCAAAAAAAGACAAAAATTATTCAATTCTGTTTCAAATCAACAGCACCCTCAGAGAAATATGCTTGTAGGATCATAGAATACTACACTCTCAAGAATTTATAAAATATGTATAAAAATGTATCAACAGAGACCAGTACATTTGTCCGCATAATCCTTGACAATTCTAATCTTGCACAAGAGACTAATATGGATCTAGATTGCAAATTGTTGTGTAAAGAATAAACCATAATTATTGCAAAATATCAGCAGTCATAAACTCTTACTTTGAGCAGAAATAGACTCATTTAAGGGAAGTATTGTGTGTACATGTTGTATCATTGACTATTAAATACTGAAGTTGACATTCCATCTATTCAGGCCCAATGTTGCCATTTTTTATTAATATAAGAACACAGTTTAGTGAGTCGGTCACAAAATGTGTAGAAAAGCAGGTGACAGTGCAAAAACTTTGCAAGCTGATAATTACTTTTCCTACAGTTACCTAACAATGTACATGTTCTCTCACTGATTTGAGAAAGCAAAGTGGCCAATTCGCTCATCAGTGAGACAATGTTAACATTGTCTCACTCTAATTACTTTGTCTCACTCCAGATTTGCAACGTGAAGGCACGAAATAGTGAGCGCGTAACATGCAGGCAACGTCGTATGCGCGCGAAATACGTTGGCAGCACTGGCTGTAAATCAGCTGGTCAGCTGTTGTACTGTTGTATTTGTCACTTCACATTAAATGTTATATTAAAAGTTCACTTCTGTGTAAAAATAGGTTATGTTTCTTCACAAATTTATTTGTTTTATGGTAACTGTAGGAAAAGTATAATGTGCAACTCGAGTTCAAAGTACAATTGCCTCACTCGAGAAACCATTCCTCACTCGCCTACGGCTCGTGAGTAAGGATTTCTCTTGAGTGAGTCAATTGCTCACTTTTCTCACTAGTTGCACAAATAACTATTGTTGCTGTGAGCGATACAATGTTAGCACTATGTGTAGCACTAAGAATGTTAAACCTTTCATTTGTTCAAAATAGGCACTTCTATTAATATTTTTCAGTCCAAACATTTCTTGATTACCTGAAGTTAATGTAAAAAGTATGATTGCAGATGCGACAGCTTCGCCGTGGGCTGCTCTGAGGAACTCGCCGGAGATGCGAGCCTACAGCAGCATGCCTCGACAGAAAGATTTCGAGTTCATCGCCCGCACCGCCTTCACCAACCAACTCAACAAGTCCGAGCCAAACGAACAACACGATCAACTGGAACCCAAAACAGACTCCGACAAAGAGAATGTTTCTGATGCAGAAACGTCTGCTGAAAAAGAAAATGTGGATGAAAATGTTGTTGAAGAAATTATTGAGGGAAGTGTGATCCCCTTGACATTTACCGACAATGAATCCAGCATCGGAAGTCCAGTGGTACACAAGCGTACGTTTAGTGAGAGCACTTCGGTAGACCAGTCCTCAATCGGCAGTCCGATCATCGAGAACCGATGCTTCCATGACAGCCCTGCCGCCTCCTCCGGTGAGAGCCCCCTGGTGGAGAAGAGGGTCATTGAACCCATAACTGGCACTGTGTTTCGCAAAGTCACACTCAAAAAGCGTCGAGTGGACACCCGTCATTTACCACCTGGTGAGTTGGATTGTTTTTCATTTTTAGATAAGTAAGGTACAGAGGAAACTTCTTTATATTGTGACCGTGCGCTTTCAACTCTAGTATTTTGTGCCCAGTGAGCACTAGGTGAAAATTCCTATCTCACAGGGCACAGGGTCTTCCTCCACCGTGAGTGTTGTAGTACATGAGCGTGGTGTCAAACTTTTCCCTAGACACCAACGACTAGTGCTAGACACCATTTAAGTATACCATTGAATGCTTCCTCTGTACCTTCCTCATATGTGGTTGTGTTGTACATATGGGTGCTTGGGAACTTTAATAGTGTTATGGTATAGTACTGTTTGAATGGGTGATGGTTTAATCCTTTGTCACTTTCTTCCTTGTACTGGTATACTTCTTGTTTTTTCCATATTCTCAGCATATTTATGTTTGTTACATTAACTGTAAGTGTATTAGGTAGAAAAGACTTAGAAATGTTTAGGGGTGACATGCATACAATTATCTAAACACACACTATAAATAGTAAAATACATATTTTTTACTAGAGAACTAATTCAAATACAGTAGCCCTTAAGAACATTTGGGGTGTGTTGATAGCCTAGTGGTCAGCATCTCAGGTCACTATTTTTATCAACTGCTTACTAGTTTCATTGCAATCACAATACAGTATTCCCAAGCGTTAAAAATAAGAACAATACAATTTGTAAGCTAGTTAACGACCTCTTTTATTTATATTTATATTACAAGTCAGTTTAAGTCATCAGATATAGTAGGCCTACAACAAATCATTTGTACGAGCTGAGAATGATTTGACTTGAGCTGGCTTGAGTCCATGTTTAACTCGGACTCAAAAAATCACTAATTTTCTGAGCCAGGTGATGGCCGAGTTATCCAGACTGCCGGGTTATCGAGTGCCGAGTTTGCGGGACTCTACTGTATACAGTACACTTCAGAATTTACTGGCAAATAAGTAATCCAAATGTAATATTACTTACTGTTTTGATGATAAATCACGATCAGCTGTATTGAAGTAGACAAAAATCAGCCGTAAATGACTTCTAATGATATTCTTATGGAGAACTTTACGTTATACCCCATTTTGATTTTGGGAATTTCACTTTCGAGACCTTTAATTTGAGCCCTCTGCCGTCGTTCAACGACTTCCCAGTCGCCCACAATTTTGACGCAAAGAATCTGCTTACGTAATTAATATATAGATGTTCTATGAATGTCAAACACAAAATACTAATCACAATTAGTATCACAATTAGGCTCACACCAAAGAGGCCCCTCTATTCTGATTATTTTGTAGCTAAATCTTAGAGGTTAATAAATACCTGTGACATTGATTCAACTCAATAAACTCAATCCTTTCTTTTCAAAGATCCCAAATTGTTATACTATCGTGGCAAAATAATGAACTCGAAATTAAAAATCACTAAACCGTCCTCCGTCTTAAGAAAATCATTAGCATCCCATGCAGCAGTGGATATCTCCTGCGATCGTGCCGAAATAGTTGTACATCTTCTGCATTTGCGGAAACAACATCATGGTATCCCGCAGTTGAGGCAAAATCATCACAAGACGCTTTCAGCTAAGAGGATTAATTCTTGGCTTGATTTGGCTCAAGGATCAAGCCCCTTAACAGATTATTGTTGACATTCATTGTTCAAGAGAAATCAATTTCCTTTGAGGCCCCATCCCAGGCCGAGCACCCGACAACTTAGGTCTGCTGTTAGGGAAATACGCTCCTGTACAAACCTCAGTGTTGGGGAAGCTACTTTTAAAATGTAGCTAGCTACAACTACTGCTACATTTCCAAAAATGTAGCTTAGCTACAGCTACAGCTACAGTTCCGCAAAAGTAGCTAGCTACAACTACAGCTACATTGAAATGTAGCTACAGCTACAATTTCAGCTACTTTTCCAAAGACGTTACTTTTTATTCCACGCACATTAGGTAAATGTAAAATTAATTGCAACTACATTTTTACTGAACAAACATTAAAAAAATGTCAGTATTGTATCTAACATTAATTGGAAAACAAATTATTCCTAGATTGTATTTAATTTTTTGGCATTATAAACCTAACATTACAACAACAGAACCAAATAGTTCGGTGTCCCATCATATTTAGTACTTATTTTTAAATATTGCATTATTTTTAAGCATCTTAAATGAAAATTTCATTAAATTCAGAGGACAGACAACCAAACTATATTTTAAAAGCTCATTTTATTTCTTTAATATAGATTCATTTATAGATGTCTTATATCAACAATTAAGACCAATAAAACTGTAAAAACGATTATTTAAAAATACTTTTTTGTGTTACAGAGCCTAGCCTACTGAAATTAGAGTTTATTGCCTTTCTTTTAATGTTAAAAACGACATTGCTATAAACTTTTAAGTGATAAGTTACTTGTACTATGAATAACACTTTTCAATGTCAAGAAATCGTCCTTATTGTCATTATGCATAGGGCAAATTGTGCTTCAACCTAGTTGGTACAGAAAACAGTATCCAGTAACTTATCCTGAAATCGGCTTTTAATTTAAACATGTTGAAATTTGTAAAGTAAAAATAACATGTAGGCCTACTTGGCTATGTAACAAGTTGGCTATATTAGGCTTGTTCTTGCTAGGACTAAACAGATAGGATTCCTAATAATTGAACTTGGAACTTGGTATTCGTCTTAAAACATAGCATAGCCTAGGAATTAATAGTCCTATACAAGAGCTGTTACCAGGAGCAAACTATGCTATTTTTTTCAATGTAAGTTTCATGTTACATGGAGATTTTTTCGTTACAATTATCATTTAGTCTATACATATCTTAAATCACATCAGGTAATTTCCTCTTTATTAATTTAGTAAACCTTTGAAAAATCTTCGTAATCTAACCAAGGAAGGGCTTGTGATGATGAACCACAATCAACAGCTGAAGCAAAGGTTGATAGACCAGATTTCTCATTATTTTAAGGTTTAGTGTTGGTTTTCATTAAATCAAGTTGAAACACTATCGGTATAATAAACAAACTAAATTGATTACTAATTTCCCTGTCAATCACTTGCAAGCATTCAATAGCTTCTCTTGTCACCGGTAAGGGTAGGTAACGTTTAAACGTCGTCTGCATCTAGCGATTTTATTTTATCTGACAGTAATCATAGAGTAGTAAATTAAGGAAATGAGAGCCAAAAATGTGGATAACACTCATTTAATGGCCTCCATGTCCACACAACGTTGTAATAGGGAATGAAACGGCTGCAACCAGCTGTATTAAGCCAAGAAAATAAGGCCTAATTTTTTTTAAAATCTCAGTTTGAAAGTGGTTGTTTCACGTAAGGTTGAGGTTATGATAAAAATCACTATCTCAAACAATGATAATGTAGCGAGAAAAGTAGCTAAAATTCCGCTACAACTACTTAAAAATGTATCTAGCTACAGCTAAAGCTACAAAATCTTAAAAGTAGCGTAGCTACAGCTAACGCTACAAAAAAAAGTAGCGCGCTACTGTAGCGTCGCTACTTGTAGCGCGCTACTTCCCAACACTGACAAACCTTGAATTTAATTCTGTGTCTGCTCAATGATAGAGC